TGTTTTGTAGACTGATTTGTCTGTTTGTTTTCACAGCTGTTGCATTTTCTGTTATTTATATGAGATGGCTTTCTCCAACTTTCAAAAAAGATAGCACTCCATTTGTAATGTACCTTTAATGCTACCTATGCCTAACACCTTCCTCCACAATAATAAAAAAATAGATTCCTTTTTTATTTTATTTATTATTATTACTATTTTTTTTTTATTTAGCAGCAGGACTACTCTTGCTGCCGCTCTGCTCAGCCCTGGGGAAACTGTCAGTGAGACAGTCTACCCTTTTTGTCCTGATGGAATTGGCACAGGCACAGGCACAGCCATTGCCAAGAATACGCAAGTCAATTGTGACACTTGCCCAGTAGAATGTATCTCAGAGAGATGCATGGACTTATGTATCACTATGGAAATGCCTACTTCCTCTTAAATGATCGAATGCAGCAGAGTGAATTAGGAAGCTCTCTTGGCTGTAAACTTCTCAAATTAATTCATGAAAGTGCAGATGCTGATTCAGTGCAGAATCTGTTGCTTTTGTGACTTAAAGGGATACTGTTTTCCTAAAGCTGTATTCCTGGCACTATCGCTCCCTCTGCCTCCCCCCCTCCCTCTGTCCCGACCCCCCCCTTCTCCCCTGCATTAAATAAAGGGTTAAAAACCATTATTTACACACCTTATCCCAGCGCCGATATCCCTTGGCGCTGGGTGGACGCTTCGCCACTTCCGATGTCCCGCGACGAGCGGGCGTTAATGCATTAGACCACCCTAAAGGAAAGCATTGAATCAATGCTTTCCTATGGGGAAAAATCTCATGCTGGATGTTCTCATGCAGAGCGTGAGGACATCCCGCATCAGATACCAGACCAAAGGTCCGTTTCAATCCAAGAAGCGCCTCTAGTGGATGTCTGGTAGACAGTCACTGGAGGCAGACTTAGAGCTGCAATGTAAACATTGTAGTTTTTCTGGAACTGCAATATTTTACACTGCAGCACTATGTGCAAAAGGGACACTGCACCCAGACCACTTCAATGAGCTGAAGTGGTCTCGGTGCCTACAGTGTCCCTTTAACATGGGAGTGCTGAGTAAATTTCATATTAACATGATACAGCGTAATCTTGAAATGAATGAATTTACCAAAGTAACCTTCTAGCTAATGTAGGATCAAAGACAATGAAAGCAACATAACCACTACAATTCACTCATAACCATTAAGCATAGCTAACGAAAGTTCCTGTTAAGGAGCCTCCAGCTTTTCAGCATTATTAGTAGAGGCGAGGAGTTGCACATGGTAGAAACGGTTTGACTTTTTACACTTACGTCACTTGGAGTGTTTCTTTATGTACTGTCAAAATGTTGGTTAGTTTTTTGTTTGTTTTTTTTTTTCAATTTAATTATGCTACAAAAAATGCAGTATTGTAATGCTCCTTGAAATTATTATCCTAGTAGTACATAATGTTTGCTTGGCTGAGGTTCTTGCTATCAATTTTGATGAATTCAGCTGCACTGTAAATATTTAGCATGGTGCTTTCAAAGGGATACTCCAGGCACCAATACTACTTTAGTGCATTTGATAGTTTTGGCCTAATTAATATGCTGCATTTATTTATTGCATGCTCAAATATTTATAGTTTTTGCATAAGATAAAGAACATTTTTAGAAAGCTTTACCATACGCCTGCCTCTTTAGCCACTTGCCCTCGCTCCCAAAAAATATTTCCTTATCAAAGGTATGTACACAGCTCCATCACTGACATTATTGAATGTTGCAAAACAACCTTTATTAGGATATCACTACCTGTTTATCATTTCTCTGGCTGCCTGCAGCCAAGTTGTGAATTAAAAGTTGCTCACTCAGTGCTGTTGTGGCTGAGACTCTGTATATACATTTGATAAAGTATTTTTGGCATGCGGAGCACGGAAAAGGAGGCAGGCTTATGATACTGAATCTTGCAAAAGATTTTGTGCAAAACTATAAAAATGTGAGCATATAAAATACAACATATTAATGAGACCGAAATCTATCAAATGCATTAAAGATGTATTTGTGCCCAGAGGATCTCTTTAACTGTGCTTTCTTTGTACAATTGTCAAAAGCCGTTCCCACCACATTGTGAATTCTGCAGTCCACTCACTGTTCACCAGCTGTATGACATGAAAAGGAGAATACCAAGATATATCGTTTTTGTTTTTTTATTTGAAAATATGTTTTGAAGGATTGTCTAGGTTAATTTGATTTTAATTATTCAAGAAATAATAAATTACCACAAGGCTTTCTAGCTTCTCCTACAGTGGAACAATAAATGTAAATCAAGTGGAGAACAATTCAACCAGTGGTACCATTTATTTAATTAATGCCATATTTGCCTATTCATCCTAAACTATCTCTGTAGTTGAAAAGGCAACCAGATTTAGAAATGTTATTTATTATACTGAGATTATTACAAAAAACTTTTTAACAAAACAGTTACTCATTATACTTGCTTTGGGACTGTAACTATCAAAAGCGGGGTAGGTAGCTAGAGTTATGTATCCTTTAAATGTTTCTAGTAAGGTGATAAATTCAGTACCCACTATTTTGGGAAAAAAAGTAATACACCAAAAAACAATATTTTTTGTTTGGGAAAATTCAACTCTGCCTCTAAAACCTTTTAAGAAAAAGAGCTCAAGTTGATTATTAACCACCTGCAATGTGTCCAGAGGCATAACTAGAAATCACTGGGCCCTGGTGCAAAAATTGCCCTGGACCCTAGACCCAAGCACCTAACCCCCGCCGCCCCAACCCCTCCATGCGTCTTATACCCCCTCTTTGCCCCCTCCCCATGTGCCTTATCCCCCCAGCTCCTCCATGCATCTCCTCACCCCAGCCCCTCCATGAGTGTCATTACCTCCATCCCAGGCCCCATGTGTGTCATTCCCTCTGTCCTCGTAACTAGTGTCTGTTTCTGTGTGTGTGTGTGTGTGTAAAGGACGTGTTGTGTGTTTCTGTGTGTGTGTATGTGTATGTGTACATCCACCTTTTCTCTGTCTCAGACTGTATACCAGGAGCTTCTGCCCGATAGTAATGGATCTGTCCATAGGATGTTGTTCCAGAACTGGGAAAGAATTCTTCGGTCATCCACCACAGTTGTTTTCCGTGGTCTTCCGGGTCTTTTGGTGTTGCTGAGCTCACCGGTGCATTCTTTCTTTTTAAGAATGTTCCAAACAGTTGATTTGGCCACACCTAATGTTTTTGCTATCTCTCTGATGGGTTTGTTTTGTTTTTTCAGCCTAATGATAGCTTGCTTCACTGATAGTGACAGCTCTTTGGATCTCATATTGAGAGTTGACAGCAACAGATTCCATATGCAAATAGCACACTTGAAATGAACTCTGGACCTTTTATCTGCTCGTTGTAAATGGGATAATCTGGGAATAACCCACACCTGGCCATGGAACAGCTGAGCAGCCAATTGTCCCATTACTTTTGGTCCCTTGAAAAGTAGGAGGCACATATACAAACTGTTGTAATTCCTACACCATTCTCCTGATTTGCACGTAAATACCCTCAAATTAAAGCTGAAAGTCTGCAGTTAAAGCACATCTTGTTCGTTTCATTTCAAATCCATTGTGGTGGTGGATAGAGCCAAAAAGATTAGAATTTTGTCGATGTCCCAATATTTATGGACCTGACTGTATATCAGATAGAATTAATTGATTGTTTTGTTTTACCCGTAGTAGATTGCAGCAGAATATGTTGGTGCTCTGTAAATAATTGTATATGTCAGACTCTGTGTTTTAACCTTTTTCTCACTAGTAAAATCCATTAATAACAATGGTATGTAAGAGCACTCACTTTAATTTTTCTTAAGAATGCAATGACCCCGACTCCGTGTTCCCAGATAAGTATCAAAGAATAACCAAAAAAGATGTCCAGCACTCCTTATTGTGCAATGATGATATCCCTTTATTGGCAAAACAGCACCGTTTCGACTGCATGTCTTTATCAAGCAATGACATTGCTTTTCAGAATAAGGAGTGCTGGACATCTTTTTTGTTTATTCTTTGATACTAGTATCCATCAACAGATCAGTAGTTTTTGCTTCCATACTCATAATAAATTGCTGTGTTCATGTCATGGCATTATCATTGTTTTAGATATTAATTTATGTTTTGTTTTTTTCTGCCACAATTCTTCTCTCCCTTTGTTAGGTAGCTTTATTGCCAGCTATGCATAACAAACACAATCTATGCTAAGTCTAGCACTTGTTAAAAAACACAGACTAAATTAAAGGACCACTATAGGCACCCAGACCACTTCAGCTCAATGAATTGGTCTGGGTGCTAGGTCCATCTAGGTTTAACCCTGCCTGCTGTAAACATAGCAATTTCAGAGAAATTAGTTAAGGTAATGCTGACTTGGGTCTCTCTAACACTGTGGCATGTTCCCTTTCTTCTACACTCACTACATCCACCTTTTCTCTGTCTCAGACTGTATATCAGGAGCTTCTGCCTGATAGTAAGAGGGTAAGGAGACAAGTGGACATGTGAGTGCTAGGGGTCAGTCCTTAGAAAGCATGGAGCGAGCGCATGATTCGCGTCAGTGGCCCATCCTTATACACCGCTGTAATGACATGAAGGGGTGCTGCCCTGGAACAGCACTGTCACTTTAAATGTGGGAACCCATACAGCAGAGAAATAAATGCCAAGACACAAATAAATAGGATAAATCAAGAGATATATATTTACAGAAAACCAAAGGAAAACGCAAAACAATATTTACACACACAAGGCCACTAAATATATACAGTAAATCAAAATTAGTACTAATCATGCAGGCAACAAATACTGTAATAGTCCTTGGGTATAAGGGTAAGATTGTGCAGCTACCACGAGTAACAGGTAGGGCACAGATCCAGAGTCACCAGACTAATAAAGGGACATCTGCAGTCTGCAGGGACAGGATCACTGGTAGTAAAGCCGGGACCACGGAACCAGAACACAGGACCGGAGGACACAACAACGAAGGACCAGGAGGACACAATAACGCAGGACCAGGAGGACACAGGACCAAGTCACAGCACGCAGGAGCCAGGAACACAGGAAACAAAAGGCAATGATCTGGCAGGGAGTGAGGGGAGAAACCAAACTAAATAGGTGCTAAACAAGGACCAGGTGAAGTGCTTAATAAAAGGAAATCAGGAACAGTGCCAAACCGAAACAGTGGTGAGTATGAGTACAGCACGAGGGCAGATCAGCTAAGGAGTGTCGTGACAACCGCCCATTGACTTCCTGCTTCACTGGACACTACTGTTAGGGGGTATGGATTTTAAACTGCTATGTTTCCATTAGGGTTAATCCAGTCACTAGTGGCTGTCTCATTGACACAATTATAGCAAACATTATACAGAGAGGATGAGAGATGTCATGTCGCCAATCTAATTTGCAAACGAATCTCTTTGCCCAATAAATGGTGAGATATACATTAATGCTTCTTTAAAAAAATAATCTTGATATGATGTGATATGTCCACCACACAGGAGAAACAAACAACCCAATTCAGCAGACACCAATAGCCAGGGCCGGTGCAAGGATTTATGAATACACAGGGGAAAATTTATTTTGGCGCCCCCCAAAAATGGTGTCTTTGCCTGTGTCTTTCTTTACCCCTCCCCCTTAGTGCATTAGCGATAATTGCAGAGCTTGAGCCAATTTCACCAAGAAAGGAAGGGACACTGTTGACACTGACAGTCTCCTAGGGGTTGAGCAGAGCAGCAGTAAAAGAAGACTTACTGTCAGATATTTTGGGGGGGGGAGCCTGGCACCTACTGGGGTTAAGGAATTCCCCAAACGTTAAAACCATATAGTGACGTTTAACGTTTGAGTGTTCCTCATATGTTTATGTATTATATTAATATTTGTATATATTATAAACATAAAATATATACATATCAATATATGGTAATACATATGTTAATATACTTGTTCTTAGATTTTTGAAACTTGATGTTTTAAAGACACATGCACACAAAAACACAATCACATTGACACGGACACAAACGCACACGTACCAACACACACTCATCATTGACACACATTAAAGCACACTCATTGACACACACTCATCATTGACACATAGTCTGACACAAAAACACACACTCATCATTGACACATAGTCTGACACAAAAACACACATTCATCATTGACACACAGTCTAATACATAAACAAGCACCCAATCATTGACAAACAATCTGACACACAAGCACAGTGACACACACAAACAGACACTGACACATACACTCATCACTGATACACAGTCTGACACACAAACACACACAGTCTCACACACAAACACACTGATATACACAAACACACTCATCATTGACATATAGTCTGAGACACTAACACACACTCACTCTGACTGACTTACTGTCGTTACTGCAGCTTGATACATCATTACAGCCATTCACAGTGCTAAGGCTGCTGGATATGACATCATGTATCCCAGCAGCCTTAGCTCTGTGCACTGCGAGGAGCGACAGGCTGCTGGCGCTCCTCGCTCCTCCTACATCTCGCAGCAGCAAGATTTCTAAAAGCCAGCAGCAAGTGCCATCCCCAGGTCATAGAGACCCACTGGGAAATCTCTCTGTATCCTTGTGGGCTCAGAATGACCAGCGGGTGGAAGGAGCTGGGTGCTCCATCTTCATGCAGGTCACACGAACCTTGCGCCCCCCGGCCGTTGCACCCTTAGGCGGCTGCCTGTGCCGCCTTATGGTATCGCCGGCCCTGCTAATCGCAACTATTATTTGAGAAATGTCACCCATAGATTTTTCAAAAGGAACTCTTTGCCCAACTAATGGTGACATATATATTAATGCTTCCTAAACACACAGACGCACGAGAGGTACACAATCTCACTGATTTGAAACACACACACACTGACAGACACACACACATACAAACTCACGCACTCACTGACAGAAACATTCACACAATCTCACTGATTTGTTACACACACTGACAGACACAGACACACTGACAGAAACACACACACACTCTAAATGACAGACACACAATCTCACGCTCACTGACAGACATACTCACACACAAACACACACACTCATACATTAATTTTATTTCTTATAATTTTATTTTTTAGGCCCATCCAACCTCCCTACCTTGTGGGGATCTTCTCCCTGGTGTCCAGTTGGGTTTTTCTTCCTGGGGTCGGTGGGCCTTCCATTTCCTGTTTCCTCGCGTGCCCTCTGTAGTGATGCCGGGGCCAAAGTGACGTCATATTCCTGCTCCCGGCATCACCACAGCCGTCGCACGAGGGAGCAGACAGGAACTGAAAACACATCAGTACTCCTTGTCTGCACCCCCGCTTGCTTCCTCTCCCCTGGTCTAGTGTCAGCAAAGTAGGTACCTGCTATATGGGATAAGCAGGTGCCTACTCTGCCTTGCCATCAAGACCTTCTGCAACATCACTAATAATAATAATATTATAGAGAATGGGTCCAAGAACAGATCCCTGAGGTTCCCCACTGGTGACAAGCCCATGCTTCGAATATACTCTATTGACTACAACCCTCTGCTGCCTGTCACTCAGCCACTGCCTTACCCATTCAACAATATTGGACTAGCACTTCCCCCTAACTTGTGCTGGTGCTGTGAAGGGCTGTGCGCAAACCAAACCCCGGTGTGCTCTCATTCCTTGAAAATGGATGTGCATGCACACAAGTGAACACCTTAGAGGGGACAGTGGCTACGACCACACCATAATTCACTATTTCAACTATTGTAAGGCTTATCTCTTCTACTTATATTTGTGGAAAGATTTAATCCACAAATTACGTAAATTATAATTTTGCTTTCAATAATAATTGCTATCTTAATGGCTATTGGTCAGTTATTAACAGTTGTGAAGTAATCACAGTCTGACTGTTCTGATACTTTTCAAGTTATCAAGTTTGTGTCACTTTACCCCACTCCCTCTAGCATGTAAGCTCACTGAGCAGGGCCCTCAATCCCTCTGTTCCTGTGCGTCCAACTCGTCTGGTTACATATACGTGTCTGTTAGTCCACCCATTGTACAGCGGTACGGAACTTGATGGTTCTTGAAGAAATAAAAATAATCAATGCTTTATGTTTCTAGACATCCCTTTTCTAGCTTTATTCATATCTACTTGTTCACTCAGTGTGTGTGGGGCAATGTGTGTGTGTGGGGCAATGTGTGTATGGGGAGGGCAGTGTCAGCAATGTGTGTGTGTGGGGCAATGTGTGTATGGGGGCACAGTGTGTGAATGTATAAGGCGTGTGTGGTGCAATGTGTGTAGGGGGGCAGTGTGTGAATGTGTGGTGAGGGGGGTAGGGAAGCTTTTTTTATAATTTTTTGTTGTTGTTATTTAATAAAAATACTTTAAGTCCCCGGTGGGGAATCCCTGGTGGTTGCAGTGGTGAGAGTGAACTCTACCCCGCAGCAATTGCCCCGTTGCCCCCTTTCCTGTATCCGCCAGGTGCAGATGGGGCATCAGCTATAGCACACTCACTGCATTCATCTGCTGAGAAAAGTCAGATTCTTTCCTGAGGCCAGAACCACCAGCAGTGACTCTATGAAGGCTAAGCTATTTATGATTAATTTTCCACAAAAGAAAAGACTGTTTTTATTGCTACTGCTGGTAGTATTTTATTAATGTGACTTCTTTATACACTCAGCTTACATACAAGACCATGCAATACACACACTGTTTTTCGGTGGTTCCATATCTGCTCTACACTCATTGACCTTAACACATAACCTGCGCTCACATGCTATTGAAACTGTTCTTCTTTATTATTACCTATACTCGGAAACCTAGAGTTACATCCGTAACTTGTCCCCAAACAGTCCTGTCCAAATTTACATTACATGATACATTATGTCTGTTTCTGTCTCTTTCTTCATTTTATTGTAGCCACCACCTTTTTCTATGGCTACCATGAGAAACGTGATGAATATGAAGAAAAGGGGAAAGTAAAACTTATAAACCATCTTTCTTAAAGCTGGTCATTTTTTTACCGAGCCCCCGTTGTATTCTTGGGAGTATTCTTGTTTTTATTTCTTACAAAACAAAAGATTCCCTGAGAAACAGCAAAACAAAAGAGAATAAAAAACAAAACTCTCTAGTGCAGAGCAGTTGTTTTATTAGATGGTTTTAGCTGGGGCAGCAAAGGCCACACATTGAAAGCAGGGATAGAAGCATAGCACCTAATAGTTGACAAAACTGTCCTTTACCTATTTACTCTCCAGGACTTATACCTTTGATGTACAGTGCCTCATATTCAGCCTTTTATCTTTTCCAAACATAAATTAATGTGAATTTTAAGTTCCCCTCCTGATATATTTCAACATTGACAATGTCTTCTTCACTAACTTATAGTAAAATATGAAAAGAATGGTTATAAATACAATGGAAATAATTAGCTAATAATAAATATATCATTAGTATAACCAAACCTATACATATTTCAATCAATCTGCCGGAGGGCATCATTTTCCCACATGCAGAATATAGGCCACCAGATTCAATGCTTATTAGATGACCACAAAAGACAAGCAGAGGTGGTCCGATGATGGAAAGGTCAAGTTCGATCATAAAGTCACAATTATTTTTGTTTATATTATAAATAGGTACCTGATGAAAGTACTATTATAGGCATGTTACATGTCTTATCATGTTAACAGTCCTACTCCTTTTATGTGTTTTCATCAATACCAACAATACCCGTTAATGCTCTGTATTACATACATGTTTGAAACGATATCATTGAAATATTTGTTGTAGCATAAGAAAGCTTTGAACAGGCTATGTATATAGAATGACAAATATATACATTGATTTTATCATGTATGAAGGAAGCACTAATCAGAGAGTAAACTCAATATACAAAAGGTGTAGAACTAGTATAGAGCTATGAGGACCATGTGAATGTCGAGATTATAGGTTTTCTGAACATTTGGCATCTCCGTAGATACAGCTAGGGTTCTGTTACAAATGCTCTAATTTCTCATTGCCTAATCAATCTCCCAATCTCATATTAGACTGTAAGAAGCACTCACCATAGACTGATTGGGCACATTCTATATGTGCATGATAGGAGAATAGCAAGCTGATATTCTATTTCCGGTGACACTCCAGTTACCTATAGCTGTAAAAATAAATCTGGCTCACACATTTATCTACCTTTGGATAAGTATAGGACATAAACATGGCACACACTGCTACTATGTTCTCAAGGGTTTGAAAAAATAAAAAGAGAGGAAAAAAAAACAACAGCATAGGGACAAACAGTAGAAGAAGGTGGAAAGATAATGTAGTGACTAGTGATGATGGTGGAAGACTGTGTTTTTAAAGACATGTATTGAGTTTCCTCAGGAGTCCGAGATGCTCCAGAGTTGATCTGCTGTCTATGGCCTTGGAGCTCCATAGCTACAATATATCTTCACAGATAGATCTTAAACAATATCTTACAGTAATTCTCTGCTAGAATAAAACACATAGTACAGGGCTACACTGCAGGGTTAGTGGCAATTTCAATGTTATCCCTGCAATGCCGGTGATGGTATAAATACATGGACTGGATAGTTACCCTAGTGGAATGCTGATTAGAACATTTATCAGTGTATGATGTCACATATTTCGCTGGATCTCAACATTTCCTTTCAGTTCTGCTCCCACATGGGAAGAACTTTTATTTTTGCCATACATTAGCACTGTAAACATTGTTTAGACATCAATGTGGAATACAAAGTGGATGTATTATTTCCAATAATTAATGCAGAACTGTAACTTCTCTGGCAGTGACAGTATCTCATTCCCTCGCCCCAGTAAACACTATGAAGCATTTAATGAGGTGAGTAATGCAGTGGAGTAAAACCACACTTTCCTACACTGCAATTCCATTTTTACCCCTTGATTTTTGCCATCCTATGATGCCTCAGGTGCTTAAGCACACCGAGGCATCTACAGAGAAATACCACGCAAGCCATGTATGTTCAGGCGTTTCTTCAATAGTGCCATATGCAATTAATAGAAATAAAACATTCACATCCTTATCTTTTCTAATCTCTCTACAATAAAGCCAGTTCACTAGCATGAAGGTTGGGGGAGGGGGCGAACGTTTCGTGTAAATTGTCCCTTTCTTGTAACAGGTGGGGAATATACATTTGCTAGATCAATTTTTAGATGGGGTCTTTTGAGCAGACTCTTCTGACTTTGGCGTTTTGACACTTCCTTTTCCTCCATCTGAGACTTCTTTTTTCTCCTCCTTCCTCATGGTCACTGTACTTGTGTACTTGCCCCCTGAGGAGTATGGGTAGCCATAGCTAAACATGCTGCCTCCGCCAACGGTCGTCAAACGTGTCTCCTCCCCTTCTAGCAGTTTCCTGTAACGACATAAAAGTGTTAAACTATGCTAAATGTAGCTGTAAAAAAAAATGTTTATAAATGAAAAAAAGGGTTTGTACAAAAACATCAGCAAACCATTATTGTAAATACCATATAATATAGATATAGGAGACCCTTGAAACAAGGGGATCCCAGTAGTAGCTCTGAGCACATAGAAAGAAAGAATAACCAGATAATATCAGAAAATATGGGGACAGACACAAATGGGTAGAACAGCGTTTTGTACACATCTTGGGGGGTTAGGACTATTCACCCTAAATGATTCTACTACCCTGTTAGGCAGGACTTCTATTTATACATCCATTTGATGCCAGTATGGGTGACGTTTTTCTTCTCTTTTTGGGTAGCTAGTTGTGGTTTGGTTAATCTGAGCTACTTTAGGTATAGGAAGGGCTTTTTCTCTTACATATACACCTACAATCTACACTGGGACGTGTTTTCTCTGTTGTAACAGTGCTACTTGTCTGTGTGGGGGGATGTTTTTCCCTGCAGTTAGCAAGTTTCAGGGAGTATAGTTTGTTCCACTATAGGTATAGATAGGGTGTTTTGTATATATATCCCCTTCTACCTCTAATGCTGTTCTACCCATTTGTGTCTGTCCCCATATTTTCTGGTTATTCTTTCTGTGTACTAAGAGCTACTACTGGGATCCCCTTGTTTCAAGGGTCTCCTCTATCTATATCATTACATTTTGGGTTACCCCCTACTCAGTAGCTCTGTGATAGGCATCTTTAAGGACAGATCCTACACTCTCACATGTTTACTGTGATTGTGAGGATCTGCCCTTCTTTGTTCGTTTTCATTTTAAATACCATATAAACTATTGTAGCCCTGTGTGTGGCATTATTAAATATATTATATTTATAAAGTACTGATGTATTCAACAGCATCATACACAGCACATAAACTTTAACAGACATTATGCACTGTCCCTAAATGGTGATGATGGAGATGTTTGCAGAGTTTCATAAATTATATATAATATAATATATATATTAGAGCCACATATATCACTAATATTAATATATTCTATAGCTGTGTGTATTACTTATATTAAAGGATTCTAGATCTACATATGTTGATTTTATCCAAGGCTTCTATAGCGATGTGTATTAATTTTACATAGGGAGTTATGAATATTTGATCTGTTTTATAGTTGCCTTTATCATTTACACCCAGTGCCCAGGAGCAGTGTGTACAATGATATATGTTTTTTAAAATTTATTTCCATTGTCCAATACCATGCTGCTGTCTACTCGGCCAACTGGTGGATGTAAATTGTGTTTCTTTACCTGTACGCTGCTATTTCAATGTCCAAAGCCATCTTAACGTTAAGCAGATCCTGGTATTCTCTTAAATGACGAGCCATCTCTCCTTTTGTGGTCCGCAGTGCATTATCAAGCTGGTTTATTGTCTCCTGTAGAAACAAAGTCATTTTAGAACGAAGTCCCACAACTGTAACAACAATGTCCTTGCTTATCCATTGAACATATTGAGAGGAAAAGAATGATACACTCAATTTAAAAAGATATTCCGAGCTTCTAGAAATCAGACATAGTTTGATAGGTTCTTTCTATAGTGGGTGAGTATTTTGCATATAGCGGATATCATTACAATTGATACATTTAAATTATACAATGATCAGCCACAACATTAAAACCAATGACAGCTGAAGTGAATAACATTGATTATACAATGGCACCTGTCAAGGGGTGGGATATATTTGACAGCAAGTGAATAGTTCGTTCTTGAATTTCATGTGTAGGAAGCAGGAAAAATGGACAAGTGTAAAGATCTGCGTGATTTTGACAAAGGCCAAATAGTGATGGCTAGACATCTGTGTCAGAGCATTTCCAAAATGACAAGTCTTGTGGGGTGCATCTAATATGCAGTGGTTAGTACCTACCAGAAAAGCGGTGCAATGAAGGACAACCGGTGAACCGGTGACAGGATAATGGGCACCCAAGGAGAGAAGGCTAGCCTGTCAAGTCCGATCACACTGAAGAGCTACTGTAGCTGAAATTGCAGACAAACTTAATGCTGTCTATGATAGAAAGGTGTCAGAACACATAGTGCATCACAGTTTGCTGCGTATGGGGCTGTGTTGTCGCAGAAAGGTCAGAGTGCCCACGATGAATCCTATCCACTAATGAAAGCATCTTTAATGGGGACGTAGCATTAGAACTGGACCATGGAGGAATGGAAGTAGATTGCCTGGTCTGGTTTTAGATCAGGTGGACGGCTGTGTATGTGTGCCTCATTTACCTGGGAAAGATATGACAGCAGGATGCGAAGAAGGCACGCAAAGGCCGTGTTATGCTCTGAGCAATGTTCAATGGCAGTGACCACTTTCAGCAGGATAATGCACCCTGCCCACTGTAAAACTTGTTCAAGAATGGTTTGAAGTACATGACAAAGAGTTCAAGGTGTTGCTTTGCCCTCTAAACTCCCCAGATCTTGAACTTATTGAGCATCTGTGGGATGTGCTGGAATAACAAATCTGATCAATGGAGACTTGAAGGATCTGCTGGTAATGTCTTGGTGTCGGATACCACAACATATTCAAAGGTCTTGTGGTGTCTGTGCCTAGACGTATCAGAGTTATTTTAGCAGCATGAGGGAAATCAACACGATATGAGGCAGGTAGTTTAAATATTGTTGCTGATCATTGTAAGTTAGATATATAAATAATTGTTCATTACCAAATAAAGTAATTTAAAAACTATCTAAACAAATATACAATATACTAAAGAACTGGATCTTCCAATTTCTTCCTGCAATGTATTTAGAGATGGCAAGTGGTGATCTGGGGTCAGCTATCATCTGGACACTGCAGCAAATCTAAAGCTAGGAGACACACCAATACCTGCTTATATTAGTATTTTACAGGTGAATTGTAAAACATTTTTTTTTTTTAAATCTGCTGGAAATTTGCAGAACCTTTCTCTCACTGAATTCTGAATTTTAACAAGACAAAACGCACCCCATGACAAGTAAGACATCACTTCTTAAATATATACTACGATGTGTATTTTGTAGAGAAATTCACACAGCACAGAGATTAAAAGAATCCTGACTAGAACACTGTTGCTTTACCTGCAGTTGAGAAATTTCCTCATTATTCCTGTCCTCAGACTCCTGAAGCTGTCTCTCCAGAGACTCGTTAGCACTTCGCAGAGCATCTACCTCCAAAGTCCGGGCTTGGAGCTGTCTCCGGTACTCATTTATCTCCTCCTTGGCCTGACGCACATTATCATTATTCCGTGCAGCCTCTTGGGACACATTGGCAATCTTGGTTTGGTACCACTCTTCTGCAGACTGCTGATTGCGGGTGGAAAGGACTTCATACTGCATGCGGATTTCCTTCAGAGCAGCTGTAAGATCTGGTTTACTGACCACATCCATCTCCACGGAGATCTGCAAGACACAATATTGGTTAGGGATAGTTCATAGTTTGTGGCATTATGGTCAATTCATTAGTCTGGGAACTCGTTTTATCCTTGGGTTTTGTGTGTCTGCTGTTGTGTTTGATAATTGTGAGTGCAACATTTTATATGTTTTGTTACATATATGTATATTATTGAATAATATGGGTTATAGCCTGTTTACTATATCCCAAAATGTTAAAAAGTTAGTTCTCAAAGCACAACTAGATGTTTAGTTAATAGATCTCATAAAATATTAATGAGAGTATTTTATATATAGCAGGGAACAAATGTTTAAGTTGTCAGCTACTACAAACAAAATGATGTGCATTACATTACCCTGGTGGCACATTCTCTAATTGTAATTTAACATTTGTAAAAACAAGTTCTGAGTGTCAACGAGGACTGTATTGCACATTAAAGGGGAAATGTAACTTATATTATCAGTATATTAGCAGTAACTTGTGTCAGCCATTTTTATGAGATGCTCTTGTCTAGAAGTTTGGCAAATTCCATCATAATCCAATTCAGAGAAGGCAAAGCCATGGGAAACATTGCAAATGAAGAGAAATATAGTTTAATTTCTCCTCTTCTCTATATGTTTCTTAATGCTGATGGCAAGGAACAAAGGACAGAGCTTATAGCAATGATTGACAGGGAGCTAAGATGGAGGCAAACTGTTGCAGAGTAAAGAGGTGTGCACTTCGTTTAATCTACTTAAATGTTTAAATATACTATATTAGTGTAGTATATATACTTATATGTATAATAAACTATTACATTAAGTGACCTAAAGCCTAATGAAACCATATGTCAGTTCTTACTACTGGGAGTTCATTAAAATTACATTAGTGCCATTTCTGGGTACCAACCAAGGCATTAAGAACTACAACAGATACAATCTGGAGTTGTTCTGCCTGAAAGACATCCTGAATTCAGAAGACACACCCTTCCTACATTACTATCAGAGCTATACTGGAGGCCATGGGATTGTAACAGGGTAGTAATATTCATAGTCTTCCTTCTAATATCCCTGGGTGATGCTATCAGCAGTATACACTTCAGAATTTGGAAAAGGACATTTAATAACAGTCATGACTTTACTGGAAGACATGGCCTACGTGAGTAAACACCTAATTGATATTTCCTCTCCTAATGTGTTTTATACCCCACCTCCTATAGAGTGGAAGCCCGTTTGAGCAGGGTCCTCTTCAACCTATTGTTCCTGTAAGTTTTCATGTAATTGTCCTTTTTATAGTTACATTCCCCCCTCTCATAATATTCTAAAGCGCTACAGAATCTGTTGGCGCTATATAAATGGCAATAATAATAAAATAGTGCAGGAGCTCCTTCAGAGTAACCTCATCTGGAACCATTAGAATCCCAGTCTGCTCAGTGCAGGCCATGTCCTCCAAGGTTCCACCCAAGTTAACAGGTAGGGTACATGCAAAATGTATATCTTTAGTTTAGCTTCCAAGGAGGAGTACTTAATGTGGGGACCTCCAGCATGCTCCTCTGTCTTCACCTGGCCCTCTACAGTAGACAGATATATTCTGACTATTAATATGCCAGCAATAAAATACTATAACATCCATCATTATTAAGGCCATTATCTCATCTCATCAGATGGTCTTTCACAATAGTATATGTTACTGCAAACTGAATATTATTATAAAGAGAGAAAATAACTATGTATTTTATTGGTTAAACAAGGAATCTACAGAGCCATATATTTGTATGCAAATACAAAACTTTTAATATGGAAAAATAAACATTTGTATAGAATTAAAAGAGATTAGTATTATTTTTAGGAAAAGTTTAAACAGCAAAAGCCCTTTTTCCAGTGTTCTCGAAGATGTCAAATTTTAAGCAAACTATTATTGGAATGGAAGTTTTAAAATCAGATTCAGAGACTGTAAATCCCTGATGCATAATCCAGACTACTGTACGTAAGATAAATGCATTAGCAGCTGGACACATGGGACCAAGGGACTAAAAGGCAGACTGAATAATGCAGTCATTGTAAAATGTAGAACAGGATGATTCACTAAAGTAAAAATTCAAAATGAATTTCAAGTTTTAGACCAAAGTAGCCAAACTGGTCGTATAGCTGATTTGTCCAATTCGGCTACTTTGGCCTAAAATTTTAAATTCACTTTGAATTCTCACTTCAGTGTTAGTGTCTTGCATCACTGTGTACAACAAATTGAATCAATACTTATTTACTTATTGTCCATATTGCAAGATATTTATATCTTTAATGGATTTGAAATATTGTCAGTTAAAATGATATAAATGTAAATTATTGGTCCTTTAGGAAGGAGTCTATCTCCTAAAAAGCATATAGCAACAACCTTGACCGACTTTTAACAATGTTGCAGGATACTGGATGAAATTGCATCTTTGAGCCAAGATGGCGTTATCTTAATGCAACTGTGTTGCAAAGTCATCTCTGTTGCGACTGTTATCGCTGGACATCTGCAATATAGCGTAGGATGCCACATGTAATAGACCACTGAACTGAAGATCTTATATGATCTCAGAAAAAAAAAAGAATATATATATAAAAAATTGAATGGTAGATCCTTACACTGATTTTTACTATTGTCATTCTCTAAACCCATACTCTGCTGCATTAGAAGTGCATTTAAAAGTTACATAAGTTCTGTCGGCTATCATTCTTAAAGGGGAACCAAACAGGGCTGGATTTACATGTCAGGTGCTTTTTTGTAACAGAATTCTAAGGGGCTACAGAAGACACTGGCCAAGATACTCATCCCTCTCCAACAGCTAATTTAAGCATCAAAAGACACATTAAGGGTATAATACAGGCACCAAAGCAACTTTAGCTTAATGAAGCAGTTTTGGTGTATAGATCATACCCATGCAGTCTCACTGCTCAATTCTCTGCCATTTAGGAGGAAAATATTTCTACATTTATTTTTTATTTTTCAGAGCTCACAAACACATATTTTGCACAGATAGGTGATAAAGCACACATAATATTAAAAATCCTGGGACATGACAGTTCCCCTTTAATTAAGAATAAACCTAAAACCGCTATTTAAAAACAAATGTCCCTCTTTAGGTTCCCATTCTTATTAAATTAAAAGAAATCAATCTACATATCAGTATTACAAACATTAAACCAATTAATAACATATATCGACTATTTTTTATGCTAAAATAGAAACATTTGAACAAAAATCTCCAAGTCTAGTGAGTTGAAACTTTTTTCCCCATCTCTTGTCTATCTGACATTTTGCAGATTGGTTCTCAGTTCATTAGAGCTCTCTATTTGAACAATGTCTGCTGTTGATGCATCTTTTAAAGCCACTTGTTCATCATACCATCAGAATAAAGACATTATAAATTATAGTATACAGTGTATCCAGTAGTACATTTCTTGAATTTTTCAGGATGTACATGAGAACTTAATATTCTATATGGTATTGGGTCAATTAGCGTGATCTAGAAATAATTATGTGTATTTGTGAGTTTTGCTATTTACTACCTTAATACATTACACATTAAAATAAAACAGTTTAGACCAACTTGCTTTTTTTTTTTACCAACCACCAAAAGCTAGGAACCATCAGAATCCTTATTTATGATTGTGATTATTACCCATATAAATGTGATCATCATGTCACCCCAAAAGTAGAATATGCAGTCTGACTAATGGCCAGATTACCGCAGAATGAATGTAAGCTCATTGAGCAGGGCCCTCCACCTCTCTGTTCCTGTACGTCCAGTTGTCTGGTTACAATTACATGTCTGTTAGTCCACCCATTGTACAGCGCTACTGAATCTGATGGCGCTATATAAATAATAATAATAATAATATTTATATATTATCGTTAGCCATTTAAATGACTGCAGTAAATAGCCTGCAGTCTATATTTTATGGGAGTTTCGAGGCTAATGTTACTGATACAATGACAAGTTTAACTCCTAGTTGCATAATTATCAAAAAAGAAAAAAAAAAAAACACAAAAACATCTAATGTCTCAAAAAACAAGAGGCAGAATTTGTGAGTTTTATGGAATATGTTTCTCTTCAGTCTCCACAAGTGCCAAACGTCATAGCAAAGTATGATGCTTTCCCCTACAATATAAAGGCTGAATACTGTGCTTTATAATAAACTTGGAATGTAATAGGTGATAGTAACCCGGATATTTGAATGCAGTCCTGTCAATGCAGGTTTCCTGGGTTGGAATGATTTGAATTTTACATCTTTATCTGCAGTGCTGCTTTAGTTACATAATATTGTGAGGGGGTGTGATTTAATTTTGTACTCTGTTCTACAGACATTTCCCTAGGGGTCGAATAGAGGAGAAGAAGGAGGGGGATACCCTCCCTCCCCCACAATGCTCAGCAGCATTTCTTCTAACACCTTTACTGCAGCTCAAGCAGAGGTTCTACTGCAATGATGGTTATATTTGGCACCCCAGGTGTTTGGAAAATTAATTCCGCATTATGCTCAGGAAGCCTGTAGGCTGGCTGAGCGTCATGGGAAATGTGGTTCCACGAATCTGAGCTTCCACTCTTCACTGTAATTGTCCTAAAGAAACATGGAACCCAGAGTTTAAATTGCATGCTCTAACATCACTGATATAATCAACCCAGGCTGAGTCATGACATGAGTACCGTTGTATAACTACCTCAAATGCATATGTTAAACTAACTTTATGTGCTAAGCTCACGAAGAGCATCCTGTAACCTTTGTATCAAAGAACAAAGTGACAGCATCTCATCTCCCCCTCCCCTCCTCCTATTGTCAATAAGCCACCGCCCCACATAAGTCATCCCCATTGGACCCACCTGAGCCTGGGTCACTGAAGCCTGGAGCTCAGCCACCTCCTCTTCATGGACTTTTCTCAAAAATGCAACCTCATCCATCAGCGACTCCACCTTCTTCTCCAGCTGCAAGCGGTCCAGAGTGGCCTGGTCCACATCTTTCCTGAAGTTCTTCATAGCATCCTCTGCCTCCTCCCTTTTGGCTGCTTCTTGCTCCAACTTGTCCTGCAGCTGTCTGACACATCCCTCCAGATGTTGGCAGTCCAGCAGTGCCTGGTCTTTGTCCTGCAGTTGATCTTCAAGCCTGGACCTCAGATCCCTGATTTCCTGCTCATAGACCTGGCTGAGTCTGGATGGCTCTGACTGCTTCTGTCTCAGCAAGGTCACTTCAGTCTCCAGCAACTTGTTCTGCTGCTCTAGGTTGTGGACCTTCTCAATGTAGGTGACAAAACGGTCATTGAGACCCTGCAGCTGCTCTTTCTCATTGGTCCTCACTATCTTCAGCTCATTGCTAAGGGCTGTGGACTGGGACAAGTCAAAGTGGTCTTGAGCTGAGTTAAGGTGGCTGGCAGGTGACCTACTGACCTTCCTGTAGGATGACAGGCTGGTGTAGGACTCTCTAGGTCTGTAGGCCTGGGTTCTAGAACTGCTAGTGCTATACAGGTGACCAGAAGACCTGGGGGAATCTCCAAAAATCTTCTTGTAGGAAGATGTGTAGAGTTCTCTGGAAGTCATGGCTGAGCACTGATGGTGGTGGGTGTGGTAGCAGCTGGTGCTGAAAAGGATGGTACACTAGTGCTTCCGTCGGCTCTTCTGCACACAATGCACTCTGCAGACCTGCAGCATCCCTTTATATACCCATCCACCCATCCTGGGACCATGCTCACGCCCATCTGATTCTGTACAGCATGTGTGCTCTGCAACATCCCTTCTCTGCAGAGCTTTAACCCATGCTTGGGATTGCTTAAATTTTTCAAGTTACATTCTCTTTGATGTTGCAAGCACATTACTTAAGGGGTACCACATGCTATGGCATTGCTAATCCAATCTGGAACACAACGGGTTAAATTCTCTACAGCATCAGCAAATAGCACATTTTAAGACATTATTACATAAGGATTTTGACTAACTTTTAGGTAAATAATTATAAATTAATTTTGGGTGGAAGTCATATGATAAAAGCCATTATTTATTATTATTACTTTTTATAATATTTAGAGTTCATATGTGTTTTTTTTTAATATTATTCCCAATAAATGACAGTGGGTGTCTATTGTGAAAGGATACTATTTAATTAATGTTTCATGCAGCAAATACTAATTTTGAGCCATATAGTTGTCAGATTAAAGTAGGTGGTTTCAGGAGCAATATGCCGAGTGTAAGACGCTGGCACATTGCATTGTACTGCAAAAATGCTGTATATGTACTTTTACTATATAGATATCCCCCAATGCTTATAACACATTATTGATTGTCATCAATATTTTCTACCTAACTCAAATTCATAGATGTCTTCTTTTTCAGCATACAATGCATTTATTGAATTTTGAGTTAAATTAATTATTTACATGAATAAAATTGACTTATTGCTTTTCAGTAAGAAGAGTAACCCCCTTTTATTCTGCTGAGAGAATTCAACCTGCATTTTTTTTTTTTTTTTATTCATCCATCACTATAGCACAAATTAAGTGGATTTATTTGGGGGAAGTAAAAAAGCCAAAGCCATAAGCACTCACTTTTATAAATCCAAATCCAAAGCCAAAGGGTGTCCTTGGTATTTCATTATTTCTATTATCGTGTTTAAATGCTGCAGATCAGTAATATATACATATCTGTCTACTGATAAATTCTGGTTAATGTTCGTTTCTCTCTGTATTGTCTGTTTGCAGACAGTGCAATACTGAAATATTTTAGTACAGAGTGAATGTATTCAGCACCAGTTACCCAGGGTAATCTGTCATACAGAAAGACATGCTTTATGGTCAGCCTTCTATTTTTTTTCTCTTCTCTCCAAATAAAGGATCCTACCCACTGCAGGAGGATATTGAGGGTGTGGAAGGCAAATGGGAGGCCCCTGAATCCTGCAGTCAAAAGGAGGGACATCTGCAGCCCTGTCTGTACCAAATGTGAGTTCAATGAGCAGATGGGACAATAAGTAATAGTCAGGGACAAAGTATGGGCTACGAGATGTATGGTATGGAGAATAAAAAATGAAGGTGACCTTAGTGTAATTCTGGACAGGAACTGTGCTATAGAGGTCATGGTGTATACTGTAACACTGTAGCTGTGACAGTAACATTGCATTCAAAGACCAAGGCACACACTTCTGCAGTGCAATTACTTCATGACGTCTTTGCTGACCTGGATGTACCCAATAAGATAAACCCTGGGTCTGCAGTAGCACACTGCACATAGTCCATTCACTTCATTGATTTTTTTTTTTTTTTTAAAGCATCTGCCATGTTTATAATCTCCATGCTGACAATGTCAAAACAGATACAAAATGCAGGATCACAGAGGTAATCTGGGTATTCCACATTACAAATTGTATCTGTGTATAGTATTTATAAGGAGCTGTAGTCAGTGTATGTAGGTGTGGGCATATATTTTATAACCTGTTCCTTGGGATAGTAAAACATTCTGTATAAGGAAGTGGATATAAAAAACGTGTTTAAAAGAAGTATAAGTTGATTCTGTGAATACGTTGCACAAAATTAAGGAAAATATATTTATTATGTTTAGATTATTTTGATGTATTTATTACTGGCATTTATAAAGCGCCAACATATTCCGCAGCGCTGTACAATTAGAGGAGAAAGTACAGTATGCAGAGACAAATACAAAAGGTAAAGAGGGCCCTGCCCGTAAACTGAGATTTTGTAACACAATAAAATAACTGAAATTGGTTAAATAGCCTGCTGATGGGGATACAAAAAAACAACTAGTTCTGTAATTACAGTAAACGTCAGTTTGAGGGACAGGGGGGCGCTAGCCTGCCCCTCTGCCAGGTGCAGACTTGAGATGCTCTTTTCAAAATCCTGTATAGCATGCTCTTGCAGCATGCAAAACTTAACACCGTGATTGCATGGGGCTGGCTGTAAAGAGGTTAAAGAAAAAAAAAAGATATATATATCTTAGAATCTTAAATGAGTCCAATATTTTCTTTAATGCTATTAATAAGAAGTGTGGGAATAAAAGTGGCATTTTTGACAATAAAAGGTTTTTTGTGAACTAGTGAGGGTTCACAGCCTGAGACTTGGGGTAATTTGTTTTCTTGATTTTCAAATAACTTCCTTGACATCACGATTTAAAGTTTTATATTACACCAGTCATTTGGGAGATATCAGTAAAGTTATATTCCTCATTAAACTACCCATCAGATTAAAACACATTTACGGGATATATTTTCAAATTAAGCAGATTTTAGTGGCTGTAAAGGGGCTATCATTTCTGCAGACAAGCCCTTTCATTTACATTACCCATCAATACTTGCACATGCACCAGCAGAAATTGCCAATAACATCACAGAGAGGCATCCTTCACAGAGCTGTTCAGTTTTCCCCAGTCACGCCAGCAGTGTGTTTAAATTGCTTTATGCAGAATTTACCTTTTTTTTTTTTTTTGGTGAGGTAAACAAGCTGTTGTCGTCAGAATCATCAAACACACATGTGACAGAGCTGCTATAACAAAATGTTGCAAGGAATTTAACAGAGCAGGTCATTTGTCATTAATTGCATTTCTTGTGCCATATCCTGCTTTATTTTTAACATCTTTGCTTCTTGCAATGCTAGACATTCTGTGTAGTATAAATATGTATATTAGCACGGTTTAAAGAAAGCGGCTTTTTGTACATTTTTAAGAGCAAACTGTGCGTTGTCTAAATTTGTTGTGTCAGCTATTTCTGCTGCAGACCTCTCCTCACATCTTCAGCATCACAGCAATGAATATTCAGACCTCTTGCATCTGCAGAGGCTTACCCCTCATATAACTTATTGACACCATGCTGCCGCAGCGAGAAAGAGAATGAAGCTCATCTGCATGCAGCCACACGTACTGCAGGATTCCTGCAATGTGATATGGTGACTTAGCCCCTAATATAGAGGCATTCTTAAAGGATTCTCAAATGGAACCTTATAGCTGTGCGCAACTGTAGATATAGATCAGACACACATTATATACAGTATACTATATCTAAATAAATATTTGTATATAAATATTTGGGAGCCAGACAGAACTAATCTCAAATAAATAAACAAATATGAATCCCTTTTTGTCAAATGTCTAAATGACTGTCATGGTATCCCTTGAAATGGTTAAATACAAACTACTATAATAACTCTTTTGTAGTTCTAATGGTGCAATGGTGCTGCCTGCAATATAATATGTCAGACCATTTTAAAACGGATTGACAACTTAAAGGGACACTCCAGGCACCCAGACCACTTCTGCCCATTGGAGTGGTCTGGGTGCCAACTCCCACTACTCTTAACCCTGCAAGTGTAATTATTGTAGTTTTTTATAAACTGCAATAATTGCCTTGCAGGGTTAACTCCACCTCCAGTGGCTGCCTACTAGATAGCCACTAGAGGGCACTTCCTGGTTTCTAGCACAGGAAACCTGTGCTAGAGCGTCGCCGGACGTCCTCACGCTGTGTGAGGACCCCCAACGTCGCTCATTTCCCCATAGGAAAGCATTGAAATGCATTGAAATGCTTTCCTATGGGGAGCCCTACCGGCCGGTGGGTGGGATCAGTCTTGCCCATCTGCCGACGCAATCAGAGGGAGGAGCGCGCGGAGGAAGAAGCAGCGACGTGGGACATAGTCGCTGCCTCATGTAAGTCACTGAAGGGGTTTTCACCCCTACAACAACCAGGGATTGGGGGGTGGGAGGGAGAGGGGACCTGCAGTGCCAGGAAAACAGATTGTTTTCCTGGCACTGGAGTTTCCCTTTTACTGGGCCCATTGGATGCTCATGCCACATCTGGTCTTTTCCCCCAAGGAACCGTTGTAAATTGTCAGACTGCTCTAAATTGGTTTGATAAATTACACTGGGAGGTCACCAGGACACTATTGACACCATAACCATTATAACAAGCGGTAGTGGTTATGGTGATTGGAGTAATCCGTTAAGTTAATTGCAACCAAGCTCCTAAATCATGTAAAAAAGAAACACTCGAGAATCCTCAGGGCTACAAATTGTATAGATATCTGTGACTCACATGGTTTGGAGCATATGATCTGATTATTAGTGATGTGTGTCACACATATCAGGGATTATATATTATTATTTTATTATTTATATAGCACCAGCAAATTCCATAGCTCTGTACAATGTGTGGACTAACAGACACGTAATTGTAACCAGACAAATGGACGCACAGGAACACAGGGGTTGAGGTCCCTGCTCAATGAGCTTACATGCTAGAGGGAGTAGGGTAGAGTGACACTAAGGGTATAAGTAGGGGTAATGAAATATGTTGCTAGAAAAGTAATCACTGAGAACTTAGTAGGTTATTTTTGCAGGAGAGGAGTCATGGGGGGGGGGGATTGAAAATCCACTAACAGTTTAAATGATATGCTTTCCTGAAGAAGTGTGTTTTCAAAGATTTTTTTAAGGAGTGGAGACTGGGTGAAAGTCTAATGGAGAAGGGAAGGGAGTTCCACAGAAAAGGTGCAGCCCTGGAGAAGTCTTTGAGGCGAGCATCAGATGTCGGAGTACAGACAGAGGATAGGCGTAGGTCTTCGGCAGATACTTGTGTATTAGGGAAGATAGGTAGGTTGGAGCAGCATTATGTAGGGACTTGTAAGCAAGCACCAGCCTTTTAAATTGAGCCCTATACTGGAAGCCAATGTAGTGACTGACAGAGGGGGGAGGCGTGGGAGGAAAATGAGCTTTGCCGCCGCATTCATTATAGATTGCAGGGGTGCAATCTGGGAACACGTAAGACCACTGACAAGGGGATTGCAGTAGTCAAGGCGAGAAAGAACAATGGCATGGACCAGCACCTTAGCTGCATCTGGTGTTAAATAAGGGCATATGCGAGCTATGTTTTTGAAATGGAAGCGGCAGGATTTGGTGATCGACTGGACATGAGGGGTATATCATTTATGCCCCAATGTCCAATACTGACATTGGTGGAATATAGATTGCCAATTGCAATACAACATTTCTGGTATTATCAGAGTTTAGGATTTTATACCAAATGTAAGAAATAAATAAATCCAGCCCCTGAAGAAAAGGTGAAAGCATAATAACTATCTTGAATAATAAGTGGAGGTTTATTGGAACCTAAGCAGCAATCAGCTTCTCCTTGTGCATTGCATAATAAGGTGGGCTGAGACTCAGCCAATCAAAAGGCTTAATGAAACAGCAGGGCAGTTTTGGATTGGAAAATGACTCTTTTTGAATTATGGAATATCACTCTCAAAGTGAACCTGTCATATTACGTTTAACTGTAATCATAACTGCTCATAAGGCACAATATAATTAATTTACCATAATGATCAATTATATATTTATTTGTTTTATCAGCTGTTACTAGTGTTACTTACCTTTAATGGCTCAATTCATTGAGGGGAGTCTTATGTCCCTCCTGCAAGAAATGACTCATGGGAGATTATTATCATAATAGAAAGCAGGATAAGCTCCATCACTCAGACGCTGAGATTTGACAAAAGGGGCTAAATTGTAATACATACATATGTAATATAATTGGGCATAAGCGGAAACAAGAAGGTGTAGGGGAAGATAACATAACAAATTAAAGATACTTACACACCAAATAGATAATAATCTCTAGGAGAAAGTAAATAAAATGGCCACAAAAAGACCCAAGATGGTAAACAACTAAAAAAAATTTTTTTAAAAATCTGAAAATAAAACAGAAAAACGCCTCTCCTTTTTTTCACCACGGCAGCCGGGCAATAAGACAAATATGGAAGAATCTCTCCTGTAAAATTTTCCAACAGACGGAGATATTAAAAAGGGACAGATGGAGGACAACCAAGAGACAAGAGAGGAAAGGAAGGAATATGACCACCTACTCAGACACCTGGATAATCAATTGAGAAACTTAGAGAAATACAAGCCAACACCTTGGATATTAAGAAAGAATTGCTAACTCTCAATGCACGAATACAAGAAACAGAAAAAAAAAAATTGCGATTGAACACAGGGAAGAACACCTGGCATTAGAAAGAAAAATAAATGGACATGGAGAACAAACTGATAGACCTGGAAGATAGATCATGACGGAACAATTTAAGACTCAGAGGAATACCAGAACAAGTAGCTACAAAAAACCTGAAGCCATACATAGAAGATTTTATCAAACATCTAGATGTGGAATGGGACTCTAGAATACCTATTATCAAGAGATGCCATAGAGTAAATAAACCGAAAGGAGTCCCAGACCACATTCCAAGAGATGTGTTAATATGCTGTGCTTCTTTTAGACTCCAATAATGAGAGCTATAAGAAGTAAAAAATGCACAGAAGAATATGAAACCCTGAAAATATTTCAGGACCTGTCATGGCCAACCAGACAAAAGAGGAAAACCCTCTCTGACAGTACATCAGTTTTTGAGATACAATAGCATGAAATACAGATAGGGGTTCCCCACGAAAATTATCATATCACACGAAGGAAAGACTATACCTATTGACCGAGCAGAGGATCTAAAAAATTGTCTAACTGCAAATAATATTGGAAGTGGCCCCAAGCACCCATCAATGTACAGTGAGGCTCCTGTTACAAAAGACTCGAAATGACTGTGTTGCTGTTTAAAAACCAATTGATACTGTTGCCACTGTATATGTTTAAGCCGAGGGAAACACGAATGGATTACTCGAACCCTTATAAAGACTCCATTCGCGATGCGAACGAGGGACCCCCAAATGCTGGCGTGTGCCGCCACTTAACCTCGTCACCCCGCAAACTACCGAATGGTCGACCACCCGACCAGCGGCGTGTGGCAGCCATTAACCACCCAGGCTGCTGCGGTTTGCGGTTAACCACAGCCTAATTGATAGGCCTGGGGGGATCGACGTTCGCACCCAAAGTACCGAAGGGAATCTACCGAACAATCAACTGAACGGCGACCCCCTACAGTGGGTCGCGTGGCGATCATTAACCTGTGGTTTCTGCGGTTAACCGCAGGTCAAGTACCATTCTACCAGGTGGTCCTCGTTCATGTACCGAACGAGTTCCACTACCAGACAGACAGCGGGACTTCGCATGAACTGCTACCCGAGTTTAGTTCCATGAGTTGGAAGCGAGGTCCCGCTGCCCGCTAAACCGTCTGAAAACATGGCCGCCAACAGAGACTCACAATCCAAAATGCCGAACGGACTTTATACGGCAGAAATAGCCCATTCTGTTTGTGGGATTGGAGCGCCATTCGTATGTTTAATGTATCCGAACGCGAGCCATTAGATGAATGGTAGAATGAGCTGTTTCCCTTTATTAATGTGAAAGTTATGGATTTTTATGCAGTTTTCGGGGACATAATAAAACGTGGTCTTTTGTGCGCTTGGAGATAATTAGATTGTATAACCGTTGGCCTCATTATCTCCAAGCTGGGCGGGTACTAATTCAAATAATACATTGTATTGTGATTGGATATTTGTCTGTACTGTACCTGTATTCCATCAGGTCCACAGGGGGCTGTCCTTGGGCCTGAGGAATCACATAAATTGCCATGCTATGTGCCAGTAAAGCCAGTTCGTTTTGACCCTCAACTTGCAGCCTCGACTCATGTTGTAGGGATCCGGGATATTGATGTTTATATCGTGCTTGGGGTTATTCTACACTTGCAGCTTACTACCGAAAGACCTCCGCTCGACTCTCTACAGCGGGAACCAGGACATGCAAGCGATCAACCCCCCTGCTAGACCGGGGGCAATCATAACAGCTCCAACTATCTGAAGGAAAGAAGAAAAAAAGAAAGAACACAAGAGACACTTAATTTATAAGCACGGGAGAGATTGTGAAAGTACAAGAGGAAAATCGATACCACAAATAAAGAATAAGGAGAAATGTATAAATAGGGTAGGATAAGTTGAAGCACACAGATAAGTTAAACAACACACAAACGGAAGCATATTACTTTTGTAAAAAGGCACAAACCAATTTAAGAAGGAAAATGTATAAATGCACATTAAATAAACACTAAGAAAAAAATAAGATGATATAAGGATATAGAAAGATACACACCCACATAAGGATATCTAAAAATACCTAAAGGGAAATAGGAAATAGGGGGGAAAATAAGTCTAAACAGAGAGATTAGTGTATGAATAACACAAGTTTTACACGAAGAAGGAAAACAGAAAAAAAATAATATATATATATATATTTGTGCTCGGAATTTAAATACGTGATGGATAGTAACTGTGAGCAAAGTTGGTTGTGGTGTGCCGAAACCAACGTACGAGTGGGCCTGTAAATAAAAGAGGGCCCACCAAGGATAATGTAGTTAAAACAGGGTGTAGGTGGGTGGGGACAATCAGCTGAGCGGCAGCGGTGAGTAGGGGCTGGGAGCTTAAGTAGGGGACTTACTCCTCCCACAAATTCAGGCCTAATGGCCTTTCTACTTGTGCTCGGAATTTAAATACGTGATGGATAGTAACTGTGAGCAAAGTTGGTTGTGGTGTGCCGAAACCAACGTACGAGTGGGCCTGTAAATAAAAGAGGGCAAAAAGATAAATTCGAGAAAATACACACTTTATTGCATTTTACAAGACCAAGTTTCTGAAAGCTTGGCGAAGCTCTTTCTCTGGTTGCGGAATATATGCGTTATATATGGAGGATTTCCATCGCCCGAGCCTTTTGATGATGTGGACCGGTGCGTTTGTGCTTGAGGCTGCTGAGGC